GTGGGTGGGTGGTAATGAGGTGAAGGGATACATACATACGTACATAAATACATACATACACTTAGATACATACATACTTAAGCGATAAACACACACACACATACACGCTGAACGGTAAATATGACTAATTAAAAAAAATTTGCTTATTAGCTTTCCAAACTAAACTTGTACACCCTGAGGGCCCTATATATATATTTAATGACCTCTGACCTGTCCTGATGAACGATGACCTGACCAGATGAACGATGACCTGACCTATGAACAATGACTTGGCCTATAAACAATGACCTGACCTGATGAACAATGGCCTGACCAGGTGAACAATGACCTGACCTATGAACAATGACTTGACCTATAAACAATGACCTGACCTGATGAACAATGACCTGACCAGATGAACTATGACCTGACCTATGAACAATGACTTGACCTATAAACAATGACCTGACCTGATGAACAATGACCTGACCAGATGACCTCTGACCTGACCAGATGACCTCTGACCTGACCTATGATGGCAGGGCCGGCATTATTCTTGCTTGGGGTTTTTTAAATACGGATACATTTATTCTTGAATACATATTGCTTATTAAAACGGAAGCTGAGCTAATTCACAAGATCGGGTTCGATTCACCACAGAGAATTTTGTTGTGTGTTTCTTTTTTGCTTATTATTTTATGTTCTTTAAAGTCATGTTGTGGTGGTGGTGGTATTTGTGTGGTGGTGTGTGGTGGTGAATTGTGGTGAGTGTTACATGTGGTAGTGTTGTGGTGGTGGTGGTGGTGATAGTTATAAAAGTTGGTGACTGTTGTTGTGATTATGACAAATGTTGTTATTATTATTATTATTATTATTATTATTATTATTATTATTGTTATTATTATTATTATTATTATTATTATTATTATTATTATTGTTATTATTATTATTATTATTGTTATTGTTATTATTATTATTATTATTATTTATTATTATTATTATTATTATTATTATTATTATTATTATTATCATTTATTATTATTATTATTATTATTATTATTATTATTATTATTATTATTATTATTATTATTATTATTATTATTATTATCATTATCATTATTTATACACTTACTTACCATTCGGTCTTTATCATAGTGACAAACGGTGAGTTATGGTGAAGTTAATTTTATCGGGCCACTTTTATCAGTTATAGATGACGGGAAGTTAATCTGGTGAAAACTCGGGTTAATGATGAATATACACATTATACATACATTATACACATTATACATACATTATACACATTATACACACCGTAAGATTTTGGCCGGTTGGGATAATATATTTACGAGGACAATTTATCACATTTAACGACCAATTACCTTTAATGTTTCGGTAGTTTAACAGTTAAGGTGGATGTGGAGATAACGAGCTGGGATAATGTTTGGGTAGGTTGGGATTGGTTGAGGTTTGGTTGGGTTAGGTTAGGTTGGGTTAGGTTGGGTTGGGTTATACGTATTTCACTATATCTAACTATAACCTTTAGTACCTATACCACTATAACACGTGCCGCAGCATAGCACTATAACACGTGCCGCAGCATAGCACTATAACACGTGCCGCAGCATAGCACTATAACACGTGCCGCAACATAGCACTATAACACGTGCCGCAATATACCACTATAACACGTGCCGCAGCATAGCACTAGAACACGTGCCGCAGCATAGCACTAGAACACGTGCCGCAACTTACTACTATAACACGTGCCTGCATACCTGCGTAGAGCTCTCCTCCACTGCATAAAGAGGAACATGACTTCGTTTGTACTCAAGGAAGATATGCCCACAGCCGGTTCCTCACAATCCAGTAATCCGGTTTATTGACCAACCCCGCGCCCACTGTCTTGTATGCTAACTGTACAACTAGCTAACTAACCTTACCTTCCCTTATGCATACCATACCTTACCTTACCTTGTCCTGGTTTGACTGTTTTGAGAGGGTGAATCACTTTTGGTAACTCGGTTTCATCATGGGAATAAGCAGAGTAATTATTATTGTGTGGGGGGGTAGATGGATGGATAGATAGATAGATAGATGAATAGATAGATAGATAGGTAGATAGATAAATAGACTATCTACATCTCCGTCACTTCTGCAGTTACATACGGAGGGACGAGAGAGAGAGAGAGAGATAGAGGCGAGAGCTGTTTCCATTACGGTTGTGAGCGGAGGAAACGAGTTCTTCTTCAACTGTCAGCGAGACGCCTCACACTCCTCCCTTAATTCACAAGTTGGAGGGGTTTTTGGGGGTTGGGGGGGGGGCTTTGGAGGGAGGGGGGGTTGACGGGGGTTCTCCGGTGTCAAGAGGCGAGATCATTAAGCCAGTCACAAGTCCGGGGTCATCAATCTTGTCGTGGCATTAAGGTTGAATAGGCGACACATGCCGGGTTCTGTAACGTGATCCCAGTCCTGAGCCCAGACCCGTTTATTGCCACATCATTATGATGACTTCACTTAACCTAACCTAATCTGACCTAATCTAACCTCACCTAGCCTAACCTAACCTAACCTAACCTAACCTCACCTAACCTATCCTAATCTAACCTCACCTAGCCTAACCTAACCTAATCTAACCTCACCTAGCCCAATCTAACCTCACCTAACCTGACCTAACCTAACCTCACCTGACCTGACCTAATCTAACCTAATCTAACCTCACCTAACCTATCCTAATCTAACCTCACCTAACCTAGCCTAATCTAACCTCACCTAGCCTAACCTAACCTAATCTAACCTCACCTAGCCTAACCTAACCTAATCTAACCTCACCTAGCCTAACCTAACCTAATCTAACCTCACCTAACCTAACCTATCCTATCCTAATCTAACCTCACCTAGCCTAACCTAACCTAATCTAACCTCACCTAGCCCAATCTAACCTCACCTAACCCAATCTAACCTCACCTAACCTAACCTAATCTAATCTAACCTAACCTAACCTAACCTAACCTAACCACTTCCCTTGTCCAGGTATGTACAAGTGTAAATAAGACAGGTGGTTCATGTATTAATTAAGACCTTCCTTGTACCCCGTGTAGGTGTAACTCACAGGTACAGGTGTAACTCAGGTACAGGTGTTACTCACAGGTACAGGTGTAACTCACAGGTACAGGTGTAACTCACAGGTACAGGTGTAACTCACAGGTACAGGTGTAACTCACAGGTACAGGTGTAACTCACAGGTACAGGTGTAACTCACAGGTACAGGTGAAACTCACAGGTACAGGTGTAACTCACAGGTACAGGTGTAACTCACAGGTACAGGTGTAACTCACAGGTGCAGGTGTAACTCACAGGTACAGGTGTAACTCACAGGTACAGGTGTAACTCACAGGTGACAGTAGTGACATTATTTTCTATATCCTGCCATGAGAAATTTTAAATCCTTCTTATAAGTATTACTCCCTTATAAGTTATTACTCCCTTATAAGTATTACTCCCTTATAAGTTATTACTCCCTTATAAGTACACCTTATAAGTATTACCTCTTATAAGTATACCTCCCTTATAAGTATTACTCCCTTATAAGTATTACTCCTCTTTTACCTTATAAGTATTACCCCTATAAGTATTACTCCCTTTATAAGTATTACCTCATAAGTATTACTTCCTTATAAGTATTACCTTATAAGTATTACTTCCTATATATTACTCTTATATATTACCTCCTTTATAAGTATTACTCCCTTATATATTACTCCTTATATATTACTCCCTTATAAGTATTACCCTATAAGTATTACTCCCTTATAAGTATTACTCCCTTTATAAGTATTACCCTTTATAAGTATTACTCCTCTTATATATTACTCCTTATAAGTATTACCCTTATAATACTCCCTTATACTCCTCATAAATAATCACTTAGTGTACTATACCATCAGACCCAGACTCTGCCCCCATCCACCCTCCCCATCCAACCCCCTCCCCCCATCCAACCCTCCCCATCCACCCTCCCCATCCACCCTCCTTCCCATCCACCCCCTCCTCCCCCATCCACCCCTCCTCCCCCATCCACCCCCCCATCCACCCCCTCCTCCCCCCCCCCCCATCCACCCTCCCTCCCCCCATCCACTCACTGTACAGGAAATTAGGCCAACACGCTTGTTATGGAGATGATCCGCTAATTACCACCACCCTCTCCCCGTCCCCGTTTAGTGAGACTTGCTGTAAACGCGACAACCCCTAACGTAACCAATGACTAACTCGCCCGTATGGTTTGGTTGGCGGTTATGTCACTCTTGTTCTTAGGTTGATTGCCCCCAGTTGCCAGATACTGTTATGGGGGAAGAAATTTTGGTCTATATTATCATAATACTCTGAGGTTAGGTTAGGTTAGGTTAGGTTAGTTTTACGTTGGGGTTAGGTTAGGTTAGGTTAAGCTTGTTGGGTTAGGTTAGGTTAGGTTAGTTTTTATGTTGGGTTGTGTTTAGTTTTGGTTAGATTAGGTTAGTTAGTTTTTCGTTGGGTTAGTTGGTTTTGTTAGATTAGGTTAGGTTAGTTTTTCGTTGGGTTAGGTTAGTTTTGCTAGATTAGGTTAGGTTAGTTTTTCGTTGGGTTAGGTTAGTTTTGGTTAGATTAGGTTAGGTTAGTTTTTCGTTGGTAGGTTAGTTTTTTGGTTAGATTGTTGGGTTGTTTCGTTGGGTTAGGTTAGTTTTCAGATTGAGGTTAGGTTGGGTTTTTCGTTAGGTTGGGTTTTGCTAGGTTATGTTAGTTTTACGTTGGTTAGGTTAGTTTTGGAGATTAGGTTGGGGTTAGTTTTTCGTTGGGTTAGGTTAGTTTTGGTTAGATTAGGTTAGGTTAGTTTTTCGTTGGGTTAGGTTAGTTTTGGTTATGGTAAGTTTAGTTTCATGTTAGTTTTTCCTTAATTTGGTTAGATTAGGTTAGGTTAGTTTTTCGTTAGTTAGGGTTAGGTTAGGTTAGGTTAAGTTGTCATTCTCCGACACGTTCCGACTCACTGAGCATCCGGCCTCTGACTACATGGATCTCGTGCTCACCAAGATCGATTACAGTGTACACAGTGTCTGACATATCCGGCTGTCGCACAAAAAACACATTAAGAGCCGGATACTTGTATTTAACCGGTTATTTATATATATTGTCTTCAAGCTGGGCTATACTTAGTGTTTTTTTATTTCCTGTGTATGTCTCTGTGTATCTGTCTGTCTGTCTCACATACACACATACATACACACATACATACATACACACACACGTTTCAACATCCTCTTCAGTAACTTAAGTTCGCCCGACTAAAAACCAGTTACCATTTTATTAGTAATACCTTCACGTGTGTGTGTGTGTGTGTGTGTGTGTGTGTGTGTGTGTGTGTGTGTGTGTGTGTGCTTAAAAGAAGATTAATTACCAAACAAAAGGCGAGAAAAGGAGAAAATTTTCGATAACTCGTCATTTCTAAACATCCCGAGTTAGGACCCCTTGGAGACCCCTTGACCATTAACATCCCGAGTTGACCCCTTGGAGACCCCTTGGACCACTAACATCCCGAGTTAGGACCCCTTGAGACCCTTGACCACTAACATCCCGAGTTAGACCCCTTGAGACCCCCTGACCACTTCACATCCTGAGTTAGACCCCTGAGACCCCTTGGACCACTATCCTGAGTATCCCTTGAGACCCCTTGACCACTAACATCCCGAGTTAGGACCTTGGACTTGGACCACTAACATCCTGAGTTAGGACCCCTTGAGACCCCTTGGACCATTAACATCCTGAGTTAGACCCCTTGAGACCCCCTGGACCACTAACATCCTGAGTTAGACCCCTTGAGACCCCCTTGGACCACTAACATCCTATTAGACCCCTTGAGACCCCACCACTAACATCCTGAGTTGGGCCCCTTGGAGACCCTTGGACCACTACATCCCGAGTTAGGACCCTTGAGACCCCTTGGACCATTAACATCCCGAGTTAGGACCCTTGGAGACCCCTTGGACCACTAACATCCGGAGTTAGGACCCTTGGAGACCCCTTGACCATTAACATCCGAGTTGGAGACCCTTGGAGCATAAACATCCATATATGGACCTCTTGGAGATCCCTTGGAGACCCCTTGAGAACCCCTTCAATGTGGCAGAGAATGGAGACTTGTTTACCATTATAACCCACCCTTGTTTATGTTGAGAAGTGACTTAAGGGTGAACTAGATTTAAGGAGACTAAGGGTGAACTGGATTTAAGGGAGACTAAGGGTGAACTAGATTTAAGGGAGACTAAGGGTGAACTGGACTTAAGGGAGACGTTTAATATAGGGTGGCACATTCTCTAGGAGTTGTCATCAGCCCCTTCCTTCCTTCCTTCCTTCCTTCCTTCCTTCCTTCCTTCCTTCCTTCCTTCCTTCCTTCCTTCCTTTCCCTTCCTTCCTTCCTTCCCTTCCTTCCTTCCTTCCTTCTTCCTTCCTCTTCCTCTTCCTTCCTTCCTTCCTCTTCCTTCCTTCCTCTTCCTTCCTTCCTTCCTTCCTCTTAACATCACTTTAGTTTTGTCTTTTCTGTCATTAACTTTGATTAGGATAGATTAGGCTAGGATAGAGTAGGTTAGGGTAGGTTAGGTTAGGTAGGTTGAGATGGTATGTTAGGGTTGGTAGGACAGAGTGTTAGTTGGGTTAGGTTAGGTTAGGGTAGGTTAGGTTAGGTAGGTTAGGACAGATATGTTAGGTTGGGTTAGGTTAGGTTAGGGGTAGGTAGTAGGTTAGTGTAGGGTTAGGTTAGGTAGGTTAGGGAGATAGTGTAGGTTTGGTTAGGCTAGGATAGGTTAGGTTGGGTTAGGGCTAGTTAGGGTAGGTTTGGTTAGGGTAGGTTAGGGTAGGTTAGGTTAGGATAGTGTAGGTTAGGTTAGGCTAGGATAGGTTAGGTTAGGTTGGGTTAGGTTAGTGATAGAGGCAGATTCTTGGCCACAGTTGGGGATTGTCAGAAAAGGTCTCGTAAATTTCTAGCTCAATCTTGTATATTTTCTGCACTTTTGTTTATCTTTGGACTACGTGTGTGTGTATATTATTGTTCATGTATTAGTAAGGTATTTTATATTGTATGATTTTCCTGTATTTCTTAGTAAAGTATTGTTGCTTCATACACCGTGTTGCTTCATACACCGTGTTGCTTCATACACTGTGTTGCTTCACACCGTGTTGCTTCATACACCTTGTTGCTTCATACACCTGTGTTGCTTCATACACCGTGTTGCTTCATACACCTTGTTGCTTATACACCGTGTTTTCCATACACCTTGTTGCTTATACACCTTGTTGCTTCATATACACCGTGTTGCTTCATACACCTTGTTGCTTCATACACTGTGTTGCAACGTGTTGTTTATACACTGTGTTGTTTTACACACTGTGTTGTTCATACACCGTGTTGCTTCATACACTGTGTTGCTTCATACACCTTGTTGCTACACGTGTTTCATACACTGTGTTGTTTCATACACTGTGTTGCTTCATACACTGTGTTGCTTCATACACTGTGTTGTTATACACTTTGTTGCTTCATACACTGTGTTGTTTCATACACTGTGTTGTTTATACACTGTGTGTTTCATACACGTGTTGTTTATACAGTGTTGTTACGTGCTTATACACTGTGTTGTTTTACACTGTGTTGCTTCATACACCTTGTTGCTTCATACTGTGTTGCTTATACACTGTGTTGCTTCATACACTGTGTTGCTTCATACACCGTGTTGCTTCATACACCTTGTTGCTTCATACACCTTGTTGCTTCATACACCTTGTTGCTTCATACACCGTGTTGCTTCATACACTGTGTTGCTTCATACACCGTGTTGCTTCATACACTGTGTTGCTTCACACCTCCCATTGATATGTATATTGATATCATTTGCGGATTGTTCGATTTTTTTTCCATACTCTGAACAAGTGGGTGGTGAGGTAAGGCTGGGAGAAGGAAAATCCCTAGTGGAGGAGGGGGAAGAAGAGGGGAGGGAAGAGGGGAAGAGGAGGGGAGATAGATGAGAGGGAGGTTGTGGTGGTTGAGGAGGAAGAAGAGGGGGGAGGGGGAAGAGGAGGGGAGATAGATGAGAGGGAGGTTGTGGTGGTTGAGGAGGAAGAAGAGGGGAGGAAGAGGGGAAGAAGGGGAGATGAGGAGGAGGAGAAGGAGGAGGCGAGAAGGAGTAAGGGAGAAGAAAAGGAGGGAGGTGGTGGTGGAGGATGAGGAATGGGGAATAGAAGAGGAGGAGGAGGAGGAGGAGAAAGAATAAGTAGGAGGAGTTAGAGGTGGAGGAAGAAGAAGAAGAAGAGGAGGAAGAGGAAGAGGAGGTCAAATGGAGTCGGTTACCACTTCACTCACCACTACCGAACTGTGCCTCACCAGTTGACCAATCAGATTACGTATAAAACATAGGCAATTAACCAGAGGACCAATTATAAGCCAGATACGAACGACCACACACACAGTGGGGTGATGGGGTGGGGGGAGTGATGGGGGTGGTGAGGTGATGGGGAGAAGATGGGGGTAGTGAGGAGGGTGTGGTGAGGAGGAAGGGGTGGTGGGGTGATGGGGAGGCGGTGTCTGTGGTAGTGAAAACAAGTTAGCGGGACGGGTTAGGTTAGGGTGAGGGGCGGTGATCCAAGGAGGTGAAGTAAACCACGACGGAGACACGTTTATCACGGGGGTGAGGGAGGAGGAGGGAGGGTGAGGGGGAGGGGTTTGTATAATGGTTGCATCACTTAGAGAGTAAACCTGGTATTATCTCTCTCTCTCTCTCTCTCTCTCTCTCTACAGACACATACACGCATTATTATTATTATTATTATTATTATTATTATTATTATTATTATTATTATTATTATTATTATTATTATTTTTACTATTATTACTATTATTATTTTTACTATTATTATTATTTTTACTACTACTACTACTACTACTACTACTACTACTACTACTATTATATGGAGTTTATTGTGGCGTAGTTAGAGACTTAAACACCTTTATTAACGATCCTATGTCTTCCTATAAGTTAAGGTACATTTAAGAATATACAGGTAATAGCCTTAGTTAATTAGATACCAGGTAATGCGTCCCTCTCTTGCTGCAGGTGTGTGTGTGTGTGTGTGTGTGTGTGTGTGTGTGTGTGTGTTGTTTAGGTGACGCCAGGTGAAGTGTGACTTGCATTTAATACTCTTGATTAATTGTTTATCTATTTATAATTTACAGGTAATCTTCTCTTACCTGTGTGTTGGTGTATTTAGTTTTTCTTGATTGGGTTAGTAATATTTGTGTAATTTATTCGTTTATAATTTATTTCATTGTTATTTTTTCTGTTTGTAGATTTATTTCGTTTTTTCTTCTTTGTTTACGTAATTTTGAGGCATTTATAATTTTTTTGTTTTATTCCATTTTGTTTTTTATTCCTGTGTATTTTTTTTCTTGATTAATTAAATTAAAATTATCTCACCAGTGGTCGTAATGGTTCAGGTGTGAGGGTCCAGGTGTATGGTGGAGGGGCCAGGTGTATGGTGGAGAAGGTGGGTGTGGGGGCCAGGTGTCTGTAAGGGGAAGATAGGTGTGTGTGTGGGGAGGAGGGTCCAGGTGTATGGTGGAGAGAGTAGGTGTGGGGGCCAGGTGTATGGTGGAGGGTAGGTGTGGGGGCCAGGTGTGGGGAGAGGGGCCCAGGTGTAGGGGCCAGGTGTATGGTGGAGGGCCAGGTGTGGGGGCCCCGGGTGTATGGTGGAGAGAGTAGGTGTAGGGGCCAGGTGTATGGTGGAGAGGGTAGGTGTGGGGCCAGGTGTATGGTGGAGGGCCAGGTGTGGGGGGCCAGGTGTATGGTGGAGGGGCCAGGTGTAGGGGGCCAGGTGTATGGTGGAGGGCCAGGTGTGGGGCCAGGTGTATGGTGGAGAGAGTAGGTGTGGGGGCCAGGTGTATGGTGGAGAGGGAGGTGAGGGGCCAGGTGTATGGTGGAGGGGCCAGGTGTGGGGGCCAGGTGTAGTGGAGGGCCAGGTGTGGGGGCCAGGTGTATGGTGGAGGGGGCCAGGTGTATGGTGGAGGGGAGCCAGGTGTATGGTGGAGGAGGCAGCGTGAGCCAGGTGTGATGTGACTCAGCTAACACTGTGGGTCTTCCCTCGCCTCATCATGTCTGAGGTGACTTGCTGATCCTTGCCTGTCCTGCCGCTGTCTCTATGTCCTGCAGGACTCCCCCTACTGTGTGTCCTGCAGGACTCCCTCCTACTGTGTGTCCTGCAGGACTCCCTCCTACTGTGTGTCCTGCAGGACTCCCTCCTTCTGTGTGTCCTGCAGGACTCCCCCTACTGTGTGTCCTGCAGGACTCCCCCCTACTGTGTGTCCTGCAGGACTCCCTCCTACTGTGTGTCCTGCAGGACTCCCCCCTACTGTGTGTCCTGCAGGACTCCCTCCTACTGTGTGTCCTGCAGGACTCCCTCCTACTGTGTGTCCTGCAGGACTCCCCCTACTGTGTGTCCTGCAGGACTCCCCCCTACTGTGTGTCCTGCAGGACTCCCCCCTACTGTGTGTCCTGCAGGACTCCCTCCTACTGTGTGTCCTGCAGGACTCCCCCTACTGTGTGTCCTGCAGGACTCCCTCCTACTGTGTGTCCTGCAGGACTCCCCCTACTGTGTGTCCTGCAGGACTCCCTCCTACTGTGTGTCCTGCAGGACTCCCCCTACTGTGTGTCCTGCAGGACTCCCCCTACTGTGTGTCCTGCAGGACTCCCCTCCTACTGTGTGTCCTGCAGGACTCCCTCCTACTGTGTCCTGCAGGACTCCCTCCTGTGTCCCAGGACTCCTCCTACTGTGTGTCCTGCAGGACTCCTCCTACTGTGTGTCCTGCAGGACTCCTCTACTGTGTGTCCTGCAGGACTCCCTACTGTGTGTCCTGCAGGACTCCCTCCTACTGTGTGTCCTGCAGGACTCCTCCTACTGTGTGTCCTGCAGGACTCCCTCCTACTGTGTGTCCTGCAGGACTCCCTCCTACTGTGTGTCTGCAGGACTCCCTCCCTACTGTGTGTCTGCAGGACTCCCCTACTGTGTGTCCTCAGGACTCCCCCTACTGTGTGTCCTGCAGGACTCCCTCTACTGTGTGTCCTGCAGGACTCCCCTACTGTGTGTCCTGGGACTCCTCTACTGTGTGTCCTGCAGGACTCCCTCCTACTGTGTGTGCAGGACTCCCCACTGTGTGTCGCAGGACTCCCCCTGTGTGTCCTGCAGGACTCCCTACTGTGTGTCCTGGGACTCCCTCCTACTGTGTCCTCAGGACTCCTTGTGTGTCCAGGACTCCCCCTGTGTGTCCGACCCTACTGTGTGTCCTGCAGGACTCCTCTACTGTGTGTCCTGCAGGACTCCCCTACTGTGTGTCTGCAGGACTCCTCCACTGTGTGTCCTGCAGGACTCCCCTACTGTGTGTCCTGCAGGACTCCCCTACTGTGTGTCCTGCAGGACTCCTCTACTGTGTGTCCTGCAGGACTCCCTCTACTGTCCTGCAGGACTCCCTCATGTGTGGCTACTGTGTGTCCTGCAGGACTCCTCCTACTGTGTGTCCTGCAGGACTCCCTCCTACTGTGTGTCCTGCAGGACTCCCTCCTACTGTGTGTCCTGCAGGACTCCCTCCTACTGTGTGTCCTGCAGGACTCCCTCCTACTGTGTGTCCTGCAGGACTCCCTCCTACTGTGTGTCCTGCAGGACTCCCTCCTACTGTGTGTCCTGCAGGACTCCCTCCTACTGTGTGTCCTGCAGGACTCCCTCCTACTGAGTTTCCTGTAGGCTTCCTATCGTCTTGTCTGTGTTCTACAGGCCTCCTACAGTAATATAAGTGTACCAGCACCACCTGGTCTCTTGGGTAACTCTGGTATTACTTGTCATATAGAGGAACCACGTGGCCTACAGTCACCATATCATCACCACGTGTCCTACAGAAGTACTCTCTCACCACGTGTCCTACAGTGCTCTCTCACCACGTGTCCTACAGAAGTACTCTCTCTCTGTCCCAAGTACTCTCTCTCACCACGTGTCCTACAGAAGTACTCTCTCTCATCACGTGTCCTACAGAAGTACTCTCTCTCATCACGTGTCCTACAGAAGTGCTCTCTCTCATCACGTGTCCTACAGAAGTACTCTCTCTCATCACGTGTCTAGAAGTACTCTCTCTCACCGTGTCCTACAGAAGTACTCTCTCTCATCACGTGTCCTAGAAGTATCTCTCTCATCACGTGTCCTACAGAAGTACTCTCTCTCATCACGTGTCCTACAGAAGTACTCTCTCTCATCACGTGTCCCTACAAGTACTCTCTCTCACCACGTGTCCTACAAGTACTCTCACCATGTCTAGACATACTCTCTCTCACGTGTCCTACAGAAGTACTCTCTCTCACCGTGTCCTAGAAGTACTCTCTCTCATCACGTGTCCTACAAAGTACTCTCTCTCACCATGTCCTAAAGTACTCTCTCTCACCACGTGTCCTACAGAAGCTCTCTCACCGTGTCTACAAGTACTCTCTCACCACGTGTCCTACAATACTCTCACCACGTGTCCTAGAAGTACTCTCTCTCACCACGTGTCACAAGTACTCTCACCACGTGTCCTAGAAGTACTCTCTCACACGTGTCCTACAGAAGTACTCTCTCTCACCACGTGTCCTACAGAAGTACTCTCTCAACGTGTCCCACAGAAGTACTCTCTCTCATCACGTGTCCTACAGAAGTATCTCTCATCACGTGTCCCCAAACTCTCTCTCACCTTCCTACAGAAGTACTCTCTCACCACGTGTCCTACAAGTACTCTCTCATCACGTGTCCTACAGAAGTACTCTCTCACCACGTGTCCAGAAGTACTCTCTTTCATCACGTGTCCTACAGTACTCTCTCACCGTGTCTACAGAAGTACTCTCTCTCACGTGTCTGAAGTACTCTCTCCACGTGTCCTACAGAAGTACTCTCTCATCACGTGTCCTACAGAAGTACTCTCTCACCACGTGTCCTACAGAAGTACTCTCTCACCACGTGTCCTAAATGCTCTTCTGTCCTACGAAGTACTCTCTCTCATCACGTGTCCTACAAGTACTCTCTCCTCATCACGTGTCCTGAAATACTCTCTCATCGTGTCTACAAAGTACTCTCTCTCACCACGTGTCCTACAGAAATACTCTCTCTCACGTGTCCTACAAGTACTCTCCTCACCACGTGTCCTACAGAAGTACTCTCTCTCATCACGTGTCCTACAAGTACTCTCACCACGTGTCTACAAGTACTCTCTCTCACCACGTGTCCACAGAGTACTCTCCACCACTGTCCTACAGAAGTACTCTCTCTCACCACGTGTCCTACAGAAGTACTCTCTCACCACGTGTCCTACAGAAGTACTCTCTCTCACCACGTGTCCTACAGAAGTACTCTCTCACCACGTGTCCTACAGAAGTACTCTCTCACCACGTGTCCTACAGAGGCGGCATCACACCCCCATATTTGTATAGGTAATGGTTGAGTGTGTGGTGTGTATGGTAGACCCTGTGTACCCTGAGGCTGCTGAGGGGTGAGGTGTGAGGGGTGAGGGGTGAGGGGTGAGGGGTGAGGGGTGAGGTACATCTTCTCTCATCTGGCCAGGCTGTGGGAAGAAGGGCGTGCTGGTGATGGTGATAGTGATGGTGATAGTGATAGTGATGGTAGTGGTGATGGTGGTGGCGTGGCGCATTTCCCACCTGCACCAATGGCGCAGCATCACCCTGACCACTACCACCGTTACCACCACTTACCTCCTTCTCCTCCTCTATAGCCTGACAGTCCCCACCACCACTACTACTACTACTACTACTACTACTACTACTACTACCTCCACCACCACCACCATAACCCCCACCACCACCACACAAGAATGTTTCTGGCCGAGTGACGATCTTGCAACACGAGTAACAGACGCTTAAGGTTGACCTCGACATTCTAACCCTTGTAACTAAATCAAGAACATTCACCATCGCTCAAAAACTGACAGAAGCATTGACGGGTTCTTGGTGTAGTTGACGGCGTCTTAGTATTTGTCTGTCTGTCTGTCGAAAATTTTATCTTTTTTGGGGTGTCCCGTAAAGATTAGACATGCCAAGTTTATTTCCGATGTGTCCTTGGTCTGGGGATCGAACCTGGGTCCTCTTGTATCAGGAGTCGAGAGTACTAACATCTGCGCCATGGCTCACTGTTAAACTGCCAGTGTTTTTTTTTTTATGTTCTACCAGTGACATCACCCACGACATGACCCATGACATCAACGTATCACCCATAACATCACCCCATTACCCACGACATCACCCACCCATGACATCATTTACTTATCACCCATGACATCACCCACATCACCCATGACTTCACCTACGTATCACCCATAACATCACCCCATTACCCACGACATCACCCACCCATGACATCATTTACTTATCACCCATGACATCACCCGCGACATGACCCATGACATCACCTACGTATCACCCATAACATCACCCCATTACCCACGACATCACCCACCCATGACATCATTTACTTATCACCCATGACCACCCACTTATCACCCATGACTTCACCCACGTACCACCCATGGCAGGAGCATTTTTCTACACCCTCAGCATCTACCAGTCTTCACACTCAGTTAATCCGATCTTAAGCTCAGGAATCTTAAACGATCTTACGCTAAAAAAAATCCCTTACCTGGGGCTGTGTTAACGCGTCTGAACTAGGAAAAATTGGCAGAGGAAAATGGCGTCGTAAATGCACCAAGACTCAATCCTTACTAATTATATTATCTAACCCTGATATAGTGAGAAATTCCTTTACGATTTTTTTGAAAGATTTTGATTCCTTCTCGTTCTCATACTGTAAAAGATAAGAGTTTTTGAGATTCTGAATCCTTTTTTTTTTAGTTTTTTTTATATATAAATTTCTCATAAGTTTTTAAAAATCCAGTTCTATTTTTTATTTTAATTTGAAAGAAAGAAGAAATTTTAAAAACCCAGAACTTGATTTTTTTCTCCTAAATTAAAAAAAAAAATCAACGTAGGATATCTTCAGAATGCGAGTCCTTTAGGGTCCTTTGCGTGGAAATAAATAACGTAGGAATGTGTGAAAACCCGCATCCTTCACATTCTCTTAGGGGGAAAAAATACCAGCGGGATTTTTTAGAGAATTCGTGTCCTGGTCGCCCTCTCTTGGGGACTTGGCAAAGGTGGATGAACTTTGAGTACAGATACCACCTTGAGTACGATTATTTAATGTTTTGAGTACGATAACTTAACTCACACCTTCAGTACGAGGAGTAAACGTCATCAGTACGATAACTAACATCTTGAGTACGATAAATTTAATACTTTGAGTACGAAAACTTAACTCACATCTTGAGTACATGATTAATTTTGATCCCTTGAATACGATGATTTGGCCTCTTGATTATGATGACTTAACTCACACCTTGAGTACGATGACGACCTCTTGATTACAATGATTTAACACCTTGAGTACGATGATTAACACCTTGAGTACGATGACTTGACCCCCTTAGTACAATATCATCGTACTCTTGGGAATAAATCATAGTACTCAAAGGGAATAGATTGAACGACCATTAGTACTGTCCCTATTAGAAGTATATTGATAATTCTGGCTACCTATTAACTCGTGTATGTATGTATGTATGTATGTATGTATGTATGTATAGCCCCAAGGTTCGGAACATGAAGGCCCCCCCCCCTCCCCTCCTCGCTTCGAATCCGACACTGACTGATGACCACAGCCCCCGGGGTCTTGTACGGGTGTGTTTGCATAACCAACCCCTGGAACTATCTCCCACTCTCCCCCCCTCCTCCAGTCACCCCACCAGCTGATCTCCCCCCCCCTCAAGCACCCCACAAGATCATCTTCACTCCCCTCTCCAGTCACCAGATCAGCTGATCTCCCCTCCTCATTTAGTCACCCCCAGCAGCTGATCTCCTTCCCCTCCACCTTTAGTCACCCCAACAATTCAGTCTCCCCCTCCCTTCCCCTCCCCCTCTAGTCACCCCATCAGCTGATCTCCCCCTCCTCATTTTAGTCACCCCCACCAGCTGATCTCCCTTCCCCCTCCACCTCTAGTCACCCCCAGCAACTGATCTCCCCTCCCTCTACCAGTCACCCCAGCTGATCTCCCCTCCCCCATCTCTCCTCCCCCCAGCTGTGATCCACCCAATAGCTTGATCTTGCTGTACCGCCGTGCTGTTCGCCTCTGATTTAGCTGTGATAGTTCTGACGATATCCACAGGTGGTGTGGGTTTACAGCATATTAGTGGCGTGTGGTGATGCTGTTATGGCGGTGTGTGGTGTGGGTTTACAGCATATTCGTGGCGTGTGGTGGTGCTGTTAAATACTGTTGTTATCTTCAATGCTGTTCTTTGCTGCCTCATTATGCTGCAATCCTAAAATCTTGCATGGTTTCAGGGCATAGTCATGGTAATGCTGTTATCTGATGCTGTTCAATGCTGTGGTCATAACCCTTGGTACAGACCCATAGTATAGTCCCTTGGTGATGCTGTGCTCTCAGTGACCGGAAGTTATCTGACGTCACGATGGCGATGGCTCTCCTCTCTTCACAAAGGTCAGATTGCCATAAACTACTGTCATAGTCGTTTAGGACCAGTTAACAATGTCAATGGTTCAATGTGTCACTGTTTCATGACGTCATTAATTTGGGCAATCTATGACGTCATTAACTATAGACCACGGGGAGTTCATGACGTCATAGAGTACATTAATTGCGGAGATCCATGACGTCATTAGACAGATGAACTTTTACGAAACGCATGATTTCTCCGGCCCGTGACTGAAGCACCTGACGACACGGGTTCGGGTTCGTAATAGGGCGAGGGTTCATGACACCGAAACACCGAACCTCATGACGATATTGACATGAGAGAGATTGCGATGCTCATGGTTTGGAATTTTACTGCTTATTCATGTTACGGGGTCATGAGGTCACAGGGTCATGGGGTCACGGTGCCTCATGTCGTCATTGGGTCCGTTACGTTCCGGGGTTGATAAGGCAATGTAGTTATGGTGGCGAGTGGGAGGCTTTATCCACACACACACATACACACACACACATACACACACGAAATGCCATCCCTCAGTGACCTCCACCACCACGCACTAGCAAGGATTGGCAGTGGACTACTGCACCACCCTCGCCATCGCCACCTACTGCCACCAGCAGTCCCCACCCACCTCGCTCAGTCCGCCACTACAACAAAATTCAGCCCATAAGAGCCCTCACCGATAGATATAAGAACAGCACCATCCCATCTATTGTTAAAATAATAAACAACTCCTGATTTATGTACTGTACAGCCCTGTAAATGTATTCAATGCATTTTATATCATTATGTCTAAATCAAATGTAAGTCTGTATATTTTCAGCCACCTGCTGCAACTCTATTAATAAACCGTTTATTATTATTATTATTATTATTATTATTATTATTATTATTATTATTATTATTATTATTATTATTATTATTATTATTATTACTATTATTATTATTATTATTATTATTATTATTAAAGCTATATGTATCCCATAATCAAACGTACAATAACATGAAACTCTCCTGATAATTAGCCTCCTTACACTTCACCTTATCCTCGTTAACACCTTCCCTTACACTTCACCTTATCCTCGTTAACACCTTCCCTTACACTTCACCTTATACCCGTCACATTTTTGCCTGCAACAGGTCATGGGAAGTTGCCCTTCTGAGCCTGACAAAACCAGGTGTGTGTCTGTGTGTGTGTGTGTGTGTGTCTTTGTATGTGTATATGCATGTGTGTGCGTGAGAGACAAAATCAGTGAGTTTTGTGTGTGCGTCTTTGTGTGTATATATATGTGTGTGTGCGTGTGGATCGTTGCGTTTTTGTGACTGAGTGAACGTGTTGTGGTTGCTTTTGTAAATCAGGGCTGTATGTGTGTGTGTGTGTGTGTGTGTGCATCTGGTCCTTTGAATGTTTTTGGGTATGTGTGTACAGTTGCGTTAGGTGACCGCAGAGAGAGAGAGAGAGTTGAAGAAAAGGGGGGAATGAAGGAGGGGACAATGGAACTAGGGGGTAGTGGAAGAAGAAGAAAAGGGAAGAGGAGGAGAAAGGGGGATAGGGGAAGGAGGGAGAGAAGGTAGAGAAAGGAGAAGTCAGGTGTTCCAGATCTCATTTACATATCATCAGGCTCACGTCCTGGCCATCAGCCCTACTGAACCGAGAATAGGTGACACTTGATTCAATACTCCACACACGCACACGCACACACGCACACGCACACACACACACACACACACACACACTGATATTAAACAAATACTTCCAATTGTTGTTTAAAATATCCGTAGAGTTTTGTTATGGCAGGACTGATCGTGTATAACTGACTCACTGACTGACTCAATCACTCACATATTGACTGACTCACTGACTGACTGACAAAAGACACAGCAGGGATCAATATGGCTGACGAGGGAGGAAATTAGTGATAAAGGATCCAGGAAAGAGAGAGAGAGAGAGAGAGAGAGAAAATCAGAATCTTTAAGAGAATTTCCTCCCCAGAGTCAATGGATTGAGCAGAGAGGTCAGAGTTCACACGTCTCTTGAGAGGAGGAAATTTTGAGGACAGTGGGAGGATGAGGGTGAAGAGGGAGATGGGAGAAGAGGAGGAGGGGGAAGAAGAATAACACTGGTCTACAAAAAAATATTTTTTTTTCTGGCATGAAACCTTTTAACTGTTTTTTTACTAACTTTAAGGTGCTGAATCCAAATCTGATCTCAGATTTGCTCCATCACGCAACGTGCCAGAATTTACTGAGCTACCAGAGATTGAGGATATAGACCGGAATTCACCTGTTTCTACTGATGAAGATGAAGAGACTGATCTTTTCAAGCCATCTGGTGAAGATTGTGAAAAGCCAACGTTGTTTACTCAGTCAGAATTGAATGATCTGGTCAGAGATCTAAATTTGCCAAAACAGTCTGCTGAATTGTTAGCTTCCAGGCTTCAAGAGAAACGACTCTTAAAACCTGGCACGAGTGTCTCCTTTTATCGCAACAGAGAAGAGCAACTGCGGAAGTACTTTCATTCATATGACCAGCTTGTTTTTTGTAATGATGTAGAAGGACTTCTTCTCTCCATGGGAC